CCATGTTGGCTCCACCTCCCTCTGCATTTTTTTAATGGCTCTCTAAAGGTCTGTTTTACCCCAAGGCTACAACTTTAAGGATCTAAAGGAATGGCCAACTGCAGAGCCCTTAGTAATCTGCTGGGAATATGACATCTTGAAGCTGAGCTTTGATAGTATCAGATGACAGGGTGCTCATACTTACATGTTCTGACAAAACCTCGAGTGCAGATGTTCCGTGTGTCTGATCAAAGAGGCAGCATGTACTGTAATGTAGCTCTCCCCACCCTGGCCCACAAGAGAAACACCTAGAATCACCTGAGAGCTTTGAAAACATACTGATGCCACCACTCTCGGGATGCTGACCTAACTGGTCTGTGATGTAGCCTGCCATCAGTATTTTTATTAGAAGTTCTCCAGGTGATTCTAATATGCAGACAAGGTTGAGAATTACTGCTTTTAAGTCAACAGAGCTGGGCAAGGGCTGTTCTGTTTTAAATAAAAGTTAACCAACCAACCAGGTCATGTCCCTGAATTAGCTGACCAGGGATTATCTGTTTGTCTTTCTGACGTAGATTCCATCTTCTTACTCTTAATGCAATCATTTAAATAAGAACTTTCTTTGTGTATACCGTCACTGGGTATAACCTTTCTCAACATCCCGTTGTCTCTTGATCCACATGGTCACCATGTCCGACAGCAGGACAAGTGTTATACTCCTTATTTTCCAGGTGGAGGAAATCCCCTTTACTCAGTATGAAGGGCACTGATTGGCCAACGAGTCAGCTGGAGTGGGGGAGGGGTGGGGTGGAGACACTTCACAGATGGCCCATGTCCTAACATCCCACCCCATAAAGTACTTTCACTTTCTTGGACAAGCATCCTGACACTACTGTGCCATTGGTCACTTGGTCCAGTGGTTGTTGTGGACTCTTCCTCTAGGCTAAATTTGCATATCAGCATCCCTGAATGGTCCTTTGGACTCCTGGTACAGCTGTGATGATTGGCAAAATATTAAACCCTTCTGAATTAGTTAATAAATGACTGCCCACACCCATGAGGGCCCCTAACCGTGACTCCTCCTTCAGGGACCCTGAATACCCCATGCCCAGGTGTAGCAAGGGAGGGCCTATTTAATTCTTGCTATATTTTTTGCATACCAGGACTGGATCTATGTTTCCCTTTAATGAGCAACAGGTAAAGGAAACTTTTTGAGGACACTAGCAAAAATTAACAGAATATGTAAGTGGGATCTAAGAAACAGACTGTGCTTAACCATTTGCACCACCAATGGAAACATCCCTAACACCCTCCCTGGTGTCTTTCACAGACCCATTTCACCCATTGGCATGGTTCTCTTGGCCCCTTTAGATCCTGGGTTTGAGAATCTGATTGTGTAGTCCTCCTCCTGCAGAAGTGGATTCCTCTTTCTGAAGGGTCCACTGTGCTCTGGGCCCCATCTCCCGCATCCTCAGAGACCTTCTCCTAGCAAGCATTGCTTTTTTCATTCTACCTCTCTCCCACTCTACTTCCTCTGGGTGTTAAAACGCACTAAAAACTGTCCCATTTTTTTTTTTTTTTTTAATCTACCCGTTGTAGTTCCCACCGTATTCACCTTTCAGTAGCAAACCTCCCTGAATATTTGGCAACAATCATTGCGATGGTTGCACAACATGATTAATGTATTTCATATCACTAAATAGTATACACCAAAAATGTTGAACTGACAAATGTAGTATCACATATACTTTTATGAAAATAAAAAATATCCAGTTTCCTTGGATTGACTTATTCATGATGCCTAGTATATCCCGGTGTTATGGATTAAATTGTGTCCCCCAGAAATATGTGTTGTAAATCCTATCCTCTTTGCCTGTAGTTATAATCCCGTTCGGGAATGGGTTGTCTTTGTTATGTTAATGACACAGGATTAGTGTAGGGTATGTCTTGACTCATTCTCTTTTGAGTTATAAAAAGAGATTCAAGGAAAGCTAGGGTACTGTGGTTAAGAGCTCAGCTGCTAACCAAAAGGTAGGCAGTTTGAATCCACCAGTCACTCCTTGGAAACCCTATGGAGCAGTCCTACTCTGTCCTATAGGGTTGCTATGAGTCAGAATCAACTCAATGGCAACGAGTTTGGTTTTGGTCTAGCAGAGATGGGGTAAGACAGATGCCAAGACACATGGAGATCTCCAAGGAACCAGGAAGCAGAAGCTGAAGAGTCAAGACCTTCCTCCAGAGCGGACAGAGAGAGAAAGGCTTCCTCTAGAGCCAGTGCTCCGAACTTGGATTCTTGCCTCCTAAACTGTGAGAAAATAAATTTGTGTTTGTTGAACCTACCCACTTGTGGTATTTCTGTTATAGCAGCACTAGGTAACTAAGACATCCAGGATGTCAAAGATTCTTTTTTGACTAAATAAACGACAGAATGAATGAATACTAATTTAACAATAACTGTTCTACCTGCTTATTATTCTATTTTATCTTAGTGCTTTTTTATCCTTTATGATTTCTATTTTTCATTTGAATCTAGTAATTCTTCTCCTTCCAAGATGTATAAAATTCAGAATGACCAACTCTTAATGTATAACAAGAACT